GCAAATTTCCCAATAACAATAATAACAACAACAAAGCAAACTCTTAACTAGCTTCAAACATATTTGGCATGTGCGAGGAATGTGCTAATGTATGTGGAATTGGAAAGCATGCAGCCAGACTGGCGGGCAATTCGGCTGACTGGCATGGCAGACAGCTGTTGGAAAATGGATGTGGAAAAACTGCCTAAGCAAAACTAACAACAACAACAACGACAACTCCGAATATCATCTGGAGTTCATTGAAGTGCAGTGGCCATAGGCGACAACGAGTCGCCAGCACGAAATTAGAGTAGGTAAGTATGTAAGCACTTGAGTGAGTGCTTTATGTTGTGGAGTGCTGATATTTAGCGTGAAAATTGGCAGCATTGCAGCTAAAAGAAAGCTATAAAGTGCAATCGTGGCAAATTTTTTAATTGAAAAGCGTAATGTATGCCCGATAAATAAAAATATTTCCAAGTTTTTGACTGACATTTGGCTTTTTAAGAATTTTGGCAATACTGCAAATGCAGCAAACTTTTCGCTGGTTCTCTGTTAGTCATACGTTTTCGATTATTATCAAAGCCAAGAAGAAACTTTAAAAGTAATTTAAGCGTTACTTTTAGATATTGTCTATTTTTCTTTTGGAATCTTTCCATAAGTCAATGAATCACTTATTTGATGGCGGTGTCCGAATCCAAGGATGCCATTTCGGTGTACTCCTGATAGCTTAAATTAGTACAAGTAATTCAGTTTTTATTTTCTGTGCAGCGTTGCCGAATTTCGCCTACGAAATGTCTTAGGGTATTGAAGTGGTAATTAGTATTGTTTGAGGGTAAACTAATAAAAACTAATACGCCTTAAGAAATTTCGTAGGCAAAATGAAATTTTTTAAGGACTAAGTGCTGTTTTGTCATGGTTCCATATGGGACCCACTTAAAAAACAAAAATAAAAATAAAAAATATACTATCTTCCCTGAAGAGAATAAAGGTCTCCACAAACCTACGCGATTCTTCCGCAACGATTCCGCTCCGTTTTCGATGCTACAGATGTTACTGCTTCTAAAACGCAAGTACGCACACATATGTGCGATTTTATCGCAGTAAAAACTGTCCATTTATAGACAAACAAAAAATATTTTTCAACAAAAATAAATTTCTTAACTTTTCTACATCAAATACATATGTTTTGTTTTCTTACTTTCAATTTTATTAACCGACTTCCAAAAAAGGAGGAGGTTATCAGTTCGTCGGAATATGTTTTTTTTTTATGTATGTTACCGCATAACTTTGGACCACGTCACCGATTTCGATAATTATTTTTGCATCGGAAAGGTAGTGTCTCAGAGGTGATCCCATTCTAATCTGGTTAAGATCCGATCAGTGGATCATGAGATATATATATATATTTTTGTTTTTATATGAGAGTTGAAGCCGTTTTTTTTTTGCTAAAAATTACTTGTTTTAATATTGTAAAATCCTTCTATTGACATTTTTCGTTCTCAAAATGCTGCACTCTGTGATTTCGGCACGACGAAAAGAAGAACTGTGCATGTTCGAATAAATCGCTGCAGCAAAATCGTATCAGTGTGTGGTTCCTCATTTAAAACTAAGGTCGGCATTGTTGTAATTTTTGTCGGAACAGATTCGCACCGACAGAATCGCATAGGTGTCTGGAGGTAACCTTAAGAAGTAAAAATTTTGGCTATGAAAAGTAACAAAAGTAATAATATCTACCAAAACAAAGTATTCGAGTACGCGAAAGCACAATCAGTACTTAACAATGCAACGTTGTCAAATTTCGTACCAATTTTTAAATTTTGTCTTCGCTTGAAAAACGCAATAATATCTAACAAAAAAATATTCCAGTGCGCGAAACCACAAAACTGTACTTTCCAATGCAACGTTGCGAAATTTCGCACAATTTCGGATTTCTATTAGGCATTAAATGGGAAAAAATTTTATGAAAAGGTTGGGCAATAAAAAATCTTTCGGCATTACGTTAAAAAAATAGCCATTAAGTTCATTTTCACATGGAATATTTTAAATGGCGCATATTTTTTGTCATTTCAAATGCCTAGTGGAAATTCGACAGAATATTTTTTTTTTATATATAGAAGTTTAATACCATTCGAAAAGACTTAAGAATCGATAACTGGCTTAAGGAACATACGAAGTAAACTTAATTTCTAATCTAAAACAAAGCACAAAGAAAATCCCACATGGACTTTTAACGCAAACTCGATAAACTCATCACTACAACAGCATAAAAAATCAATTACACCAAATGCGATATACAAACAAAAATTTTGTGAACTAAAACAACATCTCAAAAACTACGCATACATATTTACCGATGCCTCAAAAAAAGATGGTAGTGTCAGCTTTTGTATAACAAAGGGCAAACAAGTCATTAAATCCGCACTATTACCACCATATAGTTCTAATTA